ATTAATGATTTGCACTATGTGTTATATTTAAAAATTCTCTCAAAACTGCACAAGCCTTCGTACGAGTGCAATTTGAATCTAATTTTCAGCTATCATGAGTAGTGTATTATGTACATTGAAGTGAATCCTCACTTGCTTGAGTTTTGTACACGTACAAAATGTACACGTAATTGGCCACTCCCCATCGGGGCTTTTCAGGACCAATGTAAACAAACAATGATAAATAAATATCCAAATAAACATAACTAGGTTAAGAATCCCAACTGGCGGGAGGCAGACCAGTTGGCTATTTACAAGCGCAGCCGAGAAGATGAACTCGGGGCTACCGAGAACAACATCACTAGCGGTCAGAACGGGATTTGAACCCGGGACCTACGGATCTTAAATCCGGCGCTCTAACCACTCGGCCATGCTGCCTCCCTTTTCTTTAAACCACTCTTTATTATGTGACTGAGAAAGTTACCAAATAATGCCCACTCATCCATTTGCACAGCATTGTAAATTAAAAAATTACAAAAAAACTGGCCAGCTCTGAGTCAATCACAATGAAGTTATTTTCTCAGCCATATAATAAGAACCTGAAAACTACAGTTTTCGAAAGTTCCTGACTAAGGAAATGTCCATCACCCTAGCAAATTTAGTTTATAAAATAATAAAATATAATAATATTACAGTTGTACCTCAAACACAACACTTGACTGCTCTTTTTTGAGTCCAGTTCCAGAGCGTCGTTTTTCCCAGAAAGCATCTGGCTTTATGATATAGACCTCATGCACTTTGTCAGAAACTGTCTCCTGTAGACAAAATTCAAATGGAAATTTAATCAACAGAACAGTATTGAGGAATCAATTTAAGTTAACATGCAAGTACTGTTTGGATGTTCTTAAGACATTCATGTACATCAGTGATTAAAAAAAATAAATAGTTAACCTGGAGGTTACCCTCATTCAGACTCAAAATCTGAAAATTCTTCTACCTAAGATCAAATTGTTATAAGAAAAAATTACATGGATGTATATTCACCATCTGTCCTAGCTCATGGAGATTTCTTGGCCAACTATGACAAATAGTATGCAAAAACTACCAAAAAAAAAATTCGGAAGGATTGAATTTTTTTAGAAAATTTAACAGAGAAAGAGAACATGTACATTTTAATCAGCTTTATTGGGAATGTATACATATACAAATTTGTCTTAGAAAATAGTGAAAACAGGACAGAACATCTCACTTCCAGGATTAAATCCGTTCGATACTTTATTTCCTATCACTATCTAGATGAAAACCCAGTCTGCGCACCAGTACAGGG